TCTCCCCATTTCATTGGCTTCTTTTTAACCAATCCAACTCAACATCACAACCGGACGACGCCATATCTTTTCGGATACGCAAACCGTGTGAAGATCGAAAATGGTCCAGATCTGGTTGCTCCGGCACCAGCGCGAAAAGCATTCGAGCGACAAAAGAACGTGCGACCGCGCCAACAAGCATGAAGCCATGGCATCCAGTGTCGTCGTCAATCCATAGAGACGCTGCCCAAGGACGTACGAGGACGGACTCGCTATCGACGCCGTCTTGGGGTATCACCCACCGCCACTCGACCACGCTCTCGAGCAGTGTACGGGCCATCGTGCGTCGCAGCCGTACGCCTTGGATCCCTTCCGCAGGTCATGGCGGGCACGGCTTCCGCTTTCGATTGGTCAAAAAGGCGACCAAATCAACAACACCCGGGCCGGATGGATGCGATCACAAATATCGGCACATCCTGAGATGAATACAATCCTATCGGGACGAGCTATCGGGACGCCATTTCTGCGAGGGTGCCACATAAGGCGTGCAAGCGGCAGAGCTGAGCGGCCGTGGTGGCCAGTACGACGGCGCCCAGTAGCCTGCTAGTGGTCTGGTCGAGCACGGTCAACGTGATGCGGCCAACGTGATCTGGAAGCGACGACCTGTGTCATCGCCACACTTGCCGCTGCGCCACGTCTCGGAAAGGCGGGGTTCGTGCATCTGGCCGACGCCAACTCGGCTTGGCCGCATGGATGGCTGCGTATCTTTAGGTAGATGCGTCGTACTGGCAGCAGCAAGAACAAAGTGCTCTGCGATATGGTGGCCGACGATCATGTTTGGTTTATCGTAGCTTGTGTCATCGCCAGTGCTAGGCGAGGTGCATTCGACGACGTGCATTTGAGATATGCGATCGTCGCGCGAGGCGCCTCGCCGTCCTTCCTCAACGTTTAGTTTAGAGATAGCAAGTACCCATGCGTTTGCGTTGCCCACAAAACTACTACGCGATTTCAAAAAGGCATTTAGTCGCTTTATCCAACCATGCAACACGAGGCTTACGTCTTGGTCGCTTGCTCGATGCGCAGCAGTAGGATTCGCAGCTTCTCGTTGTCGTCCGGAAGCTCATCGTCGCATTCTTCGCAGACCGTGGCCGTCATAATCTGAAGCGAGTCGCAGCTGACGCAGACAAGATTAT